GGACCCTCCATTCCCAAGCCTGGCTCTTGGGAAGCTCTTCCCCTCCCACAGCCGGGATGGAGCAGCGTCCCATGAGGTATTTCTGTGGATTTGGAAGCTCAGTTTCACCTGGAAGCCAAATCCTTTCTTTCCAGAGCACGTGAGCCCTCCCAGGATCCAGGAGGGGCCGGGCAGGGCAGGATCTGTAGCACCTTCCTGGAGCAGTGGGATTTTTCCAGGTCACTGCCTTAAAATCCAACCCGGTCCCGTGGAATTCAAGGACAGGGATCCTCCTGCAGGGAGAGCCCAAGGTCCTGACAGCTCACAGGGCACTCACAGGGCACCCACCCCCATCCACAGGCCCGGCAGGACAGAGCAATTCCTTGGATTCAGAGCGCAGGGACTCGCTCCTTTAAATACAGGGATGAAGAGGCTTCTCCAGAATTCCCAGCATCCCTCAAAACTCCACCATCCAGGAAGTTCCTGCTCAGGGGCTGCAGGGGATGAAGCAGCAGACCAGGATTTGAAGGGGGGGGGTGTTATTTGTGCCCAAAACCATGGCAAGAGCCATCATCTCTCCCAGCTTTGCTGTGGATCCATGGATGTCCCAGGGAGGGAAGGGATCAGATGCTATTCCAGAGAATCCTCAGGGAGCTGCTCCTCGCTCCCAGTCCCCCCCAGCAGCTCCTCCTCAGGATCCTTCACAGCTCCAAAGGAAGCCACTTCATTCCCAGCTCCTGGAATCAGCCAGAGAGGGGCTGGAAGTGCACATCCCGTGGCTCTGCAGGAAGTACCTTTGGTCCTTCCAGCTCCAACAGTTCCAGCTTCTCCACCTTCCTTCCACTTCCCGGGGGGTCCGGGGGGGGGGATCTTCCAGTGTTTTCTCAGGGAATGGCGCTTCCTCGGAGGAGCAGCACCAACCATTCCCTCGGGATCCACGACATCCCAACGGCTCACACGCTCCTCCTTCCTCGGGTCCATCCTGCAAATCCAGCTCAGCTTCCCAAGGCTGGGTTTGGCTCCCTCCTCCCGGATCCTGGGAAGCTGCTGAGCTCCAAGGTTATTCCCAGAGGTTATTCCCAGATCCTTCTGGCTCAGTTTGCCTCCAGCAGCTCTCCAGCTGCACCCTCCCCTCTCCGTGGGGATCAAAGGACAGTCCCGCCACGATGCCTTGGAGCAGATGGATCTTCCCAGAGAGTGTCCCCTCCTCCTCCTCCCTCCATCTCTTTCCCCACTTCCAAGTTTTCCAAGGCAGGGTCGTCACCACGCAGTCACCTCTTCTCATGCTGAAAACAAAAAACTGGAATACATCAAAAATAAAACTTTCCCCAGAACTTTGTAAAACTTTGTAAAATGCCGTGACATTCCTTGTTCCGCCGGGAGGCTCGGCCGCCTCCCGAGACGCCTTTTCCCAGGAGCCAAGGCTCTGGATTCCTGCTCTGCTGGGCTTCTTGGGAATCTTGGCCCCCCCTCTTCTCTGTACAAAAGGGCTGGAGAGCAGGAGTGGCCCCCCCCCCAGCAGCGGGGGAGGAGTGTGGGGGGCTCCTTCCCACCACGGCCTGGCTCGGGCTGCGGGATGGCAACAACCAAATTCCTGGTGGGAAAGAGAGGGGAGAGGGATCAGCCACCAGCGGGATGGATCCGGCCCCGGGAGGGAGAACAGGCTGGGGTGGGAACAACCTGGAGGCTTGTTCCCTTTCCCAGGGAAAGCTGGGAATGGTGGAACAACGGGAAGCCTTGTTCCCCTTCCCAGGGAAAGCCTGGAATGGTAAGAGATCCCAAAACCTTTTGCCCCTTCCCAAGGAAAGCCTGGAATTGTAAAAGGCTATGAAACCTTGTGCCCCTTCCCAAGGAAAGCTGGGAATGGTAAAAAAACCATGAAGCCTTGTTCCTCTTTCCAAGGAAAGCTTGGGAATGGTGGAAGAACATGAAGCCTTGTTCTCCTCCCCAAGGGTAACAGACCATGAAACTTTGTTCCCCTTTCCAAGGAAAGCCTGGGAATTGTAAAAGATTGTGAAGCCTTGTTCCCCTTTCCAAGGAAAGCTTGAGAAAGTAAAGGACTCTGAAGCCTTGTTCTCTTTCCCAAGGGTAAAAGGCCAGGAAGCCTTGTTCCCCTTTCCAGAGAAAGCTTGGGAATGGTAGAAGACCACGAAGCCTTGTTGCCCTTCCCAAGGAAAGCCTGGAATGGTAAAAGGCTGTGAAACCTTGTTCCCCTCCCCAGGGAAAGCTGGGAATTGCAGAAGCCCACAAAGCCTTGTTCTCTTTTCCCAAGGGCAAAAGGCCAGGAAGGTTTGTTCCCCTCTCCAAGAAAAACTGGGAATGGCAAGAGACCACGATGAAGCCTCGCTTCCCTCACCAGGGAAAGTTAGGGAATGGTGAAATACCCCGGAGTGAACAGCCAGGAGGGTTCTGTGGGTTTGCAATCCAGGGCACAGCTGGGCTCTGATCCCGGGGCTGGATGGGCTCTGATCCCAGGGTTGGATGGGCTCTGATCCCAGGGCTGGATGGGGCTCTGATCCCAGGGCTGGATGGGGCTCTGATCCCGGGGCTGGATGGGCTCTGATCCCGGGGCTGGATGGGGCTCTGATCCCGGGGCTGGATGGGGCTCTGATCCCAGGATTGGATGCATCCAGCAGCATTCCCGTACCATCAGTGCCGGGAGCACGGGCGAGGCGGCTCTGCTACGTGGAGGATTCCGGCTCCTGGGTCTGTCTGGAGATGAGCTGGGCCTCCTTCAGGGACAGGTAAACCTCCTCCTGCGGGTCGTAGTAGTAGAACTTGCGGATGTAGGAGATCAGGGGCCTGGGAAAGGAGCGGGAAGAGCTTCATCCATCCCTGAGCCACCAGCATTCCAACCTCCCCAGAGCCCACCCGGCTCCGGCACCGGGCCGGGGCACCTCAATCCCAAATTCCCATGTGCATCCATTCCCACATCCCACGGGACGCTCATCCCGCTGTCCCAAGGCTGGGGGGAAGTCAATTATTCCCTGCCCGGGCCCTCCCTGGAGATACAGACCCTTCCCAGGGCCTGGGAGGGTGGGAATCAAAGGGATCCATCCCTGGGACTCACTTGGGCAGCAGGAGCTTGGGAATCAAAAGGATCAATCCCTGGGACTCATTTGGGCAGCGGGAGCTCGGGAATCAAAGGGATCCATCCCTGGGACTCACTTGGGCAGCGGGAGCTCAGGAATGAAAGGGAATCAAAGGGATCCATCCCTGGGACTCACTTTGGGCAGCAGGAGCTCAGGAATGAAAGGGAATGAAAGGGACCCATCCCTGGGACTCACTTGGGCAGCGGGAGCTCGGGAATGTGGTCGATCCGGACCAGCTGCCGGATCCGAAAGCGGCAAAGGTGCTGAAGGGATTTGACGTTGCTGAACCTGGAGACGGGATACAGGAGCTGGACGGGCGTTGGAGGGAGACCTTTGGGGGGAAAAAAGGCAAGTTTGGAGATGAGGAAGTGCTGCTGATCCCGAAGGGAAAAGCTGAGCTTTCCTCAAGTCCGGGTTCCACACGGTATCACGGGATCATGGAATGGTTTGGGTGGGAAAGGACCTTAAAGCTCATCCAGTGCCACCCCCTGCCATGGGCAGGGACACCTTCCACTAGCCCAGGTTGCTCCAACCTGGCCTTGGACACTTCCAGGGATGGGGCAGCCACAGCTTCTCTGTGCCAGGGCCTCCCCACCCTCACAGGGAAGAATTTCTTCCCAATATCCCACCTAACCCTGCCCTCTGGCACTTTAAAACCATAACCCCTTGTCCTGTCACTCTCTGCCTGCAAAAGAAGTCCCTCGAGTCTCCTTTTTTTAAGCTCCAGGATTTTCCCAGGATCCCACTGCTCTGGAATCCCTGGAGAGCCAAAACCTGGCAGGGGTGAGACCCCTTTGCCTGCAACAACAGCCCTGATGCCATGGGGTGACTGGAACAGCAGATCCTGGGAAAAGCAAGCTCCAAGCCACCAGGACTGGCAGATGAATCATCCCTTTAAACAGCACCAGGGAGTTTTCCAGGGATGCAGGAGGGAGCCCAAGGACAAGACACAGGCTTTGCTCTGCACATCCCTCAGGATCAGAGGGGCTGAGGGAACCAAAGGTGTTAAAAATCTGAGGGATTTGGTCAGATCAGGCCGTGCCAGAGCTGCTCATCCCTGGCTCACAAGGCTGGGAACAAAGGCAGAGGCAGCTCCAGCCTCCTCACACAGGGCTGGAAGGGGTCACACCCTGCTCCAAAACCTCCCTCTACCCCAAAATTGGGGACAACAACGAAGCCCACAGGCCCCAGGGGTCGGCAGGAGCACTGGGAAGGATCTTTGGGAGCTGGGCTCCACTCCCAGCACAGGGTTTTATCTGTCCTTGCAGAAGAATTCCAAGGCAGTCCCACTCCAACCCCCTCCTCCTGGTTTGACTCCCAGGGCACTGGAGGGAGAGGAGAAAAGGGAAAGCTCTTCACACTCCAAACTGCTCCAGGCAGCTCGGGAAGCTGGGAGCCAGCTTGGGAAGGAGCAGGGAACAGCCAGGCATTGAGGGCTGGATTCTGCCCCCTCTTATTCTCTCCAAAGAAAAAAAAAGGAATGAGCCTCTGGGAGCTCAGCCAGCAGCCAGAGGGACACAGCCCGAGCTCCACATGGAGCTCCACTGCCAGCTGGAAGAGCCCCCTCCTCCAAAATCCCTCCTCCAAAACCCCTCCTCCAAAATCCCCCCTCCAAAATCCTCCCTCCAAAATCCTCCCTCCAAAACCCCCCCTCCAAAACCCCCCCTCCAAAACCCCTCTCTCCAAAATCCCCCCTCCAAAA